TAGGTGCACAATGTGTACCTCAATTTATATATTAATACATGCTTACATAAACTACTCTGCTTAAAAAACTGGTGTAAATTGAAATATATTCAAATATAATAACCTGTAATTTTGTGCAAACTTGCATTTTTCGAAACTCGTAGAATAAATTTCACAGCATATAAATGCATTATAAATGCGAATACATAAGCTGCAATTGAATTTGCTTATAGATATATTTGAGAAAATGCTTAGGACCTATTTCAATCATTCTGAAATACATTTATTAAATTTTATTCTAACCCAATTACTGTAAAAACTACAAAAACACTGCAGACTTTTACTACATCGTTTATACACTCCACCAACTTAATTATAACACCACTATATCGTGATTCAATGTAATTGGAGAATCCTTGTGTTTGTTTTGGATTACATGTGAATAAGAATCATAATGCGTGATTGTTTAATCCCGTAGATATGGATTGTGATACTGAATTCATAAACTAATGCGTGAATATAAATCAAGATGTGTTATTGCAAAAATACAAACATCATGATATTTCTTTTAAAAAAAATTCTTATTCATAGATTAATATGAATTCAATCGGTATTATGAATTCAATGAGGTAATTACGAACTGCGATTTGTAATGGCAGAAAAATCAAGCGAGTCAAACATTATTATCTACGATATTTTGCTACTTTCTTAGTTTCGTGGCTTTTTTTTCTTTTTTTCTTAAAAAAAACGGCTTTTGACCAGAGTTTAGTGTGCTATTTTAATTCTGATTAGAGTTATTAATTTTAACTAATATTTAATTTTTTAGTTAACTCATAATTTAGTTTTTGTTATCCTGTAAAATTTACGTTATTTTATTTTCTTGATGATAAACCAAAACAGTTTTATTTCAGGTAAAAATTTAAAGATTTTTGTCAATATGAGGTAATCAGGTGTCTAATGTGATGTTTTGAAACCGGAATGAATATACATGATATCAACAAACATAGATGTAATCATAGATATTATTTATACACGACATATTAACCAAAGTAATGGCTGAAATTTAATTTTTTAATTATGTGAGATTTTAATATCACATATTTAATCGTGAGACTGAACGCAAATTCATAATATCCTTTCAATTAATGATTGATCTTATTTAACTTCTGACGGAGAAATGAATTCGTTAAAAAAATAATTAAAGACACGAGCTTATCGTTCAAAAACTTAATAAATTTTGACATTTATAAATAATTTTTAAGCACTTTACTTTAAGAATGAATGCTGTTTCGAAAAATTTGCTTTATTACTGACTTCATTAATTTTAAAAATTAATCATCTTAATAACAATCCATCAAGAACGAAAATTAGAATGAAATTTAAACCTTCTTACATTTTAAAAGCATAGTTAATGACTTACGCTTTTAACGTCTAGGAGCAACTTTTTAATATGTTTTGAACTTTTTAATACGTTCGAGATTATATTTATCTTTTCTTATGTATGATAGAATCACTTAATTCAAAAATAAAAATTAAACGTAAAAGATTATAACTTAACAGTTAATATTATTTTTACATATTTCATTTTTTAAAGTAATGCAGTTTATTAAAAGTTAATATTATATTTGATTATAGTTTTCCTTTAGCTAACTTTTTTTAAAACACGTTCATAACTAACATAAACTATATATATATATATATATATACAGTATTTATTCAGTTACCTACACTCGGACTACAAAATTCCAAAAGGCTTTAAAAAAATCATAAAAA